ACGTGTTGCCGGCGGCAGGTCGCGCAGCGGAGCGGAAGCCCTTATGCAACAGATCGCGTACATCGGATTATTGCATCATAGCAATGTACCGATGTACGGCATACTTGCTACATGTTGCATTGCTTTGCGTTATCACGTCTCCCCCCATAGCCTCCCCGCCCCAGGCCACGCCACTTCCGCCGACCAGGGTGGCCCCCGTCCACAAACTTTTTGGAAATCTGCAATTTGGGCCCCTTGCGCCTCTTGGGGGCCCAAGAGGGCCCAAAGACAGCTCAAGATGGGCTCAAACACGGCCCAAGACGGCCCCGAAACGGCCCAAAATTGCCCAAGAGGGCCCCGAACCCCCCCATGACGGCCCAAGAGGGGCCCAAAAGCGCCCACAAGAGCGCCTCCAAAGCCAAAATCATTGATTTCCCGTTGGTTCGTGAAGGACTTGAGCGTTCTCACCTTTTTCCCCACATGTTTCGTGGGGTTCTGGTTTTCTTCCCTGCCGCGCCGCACCCGCGTCTCACACCTCCCCCCTCCCCTTCTCCTTCTCGCACAGCACAGCACAGCACGGCACGGCACGGCACGGCACAGCACAGCTCACCGCACAGCAGCACAGCACAGCACAGCACAGCACAGCATACCACACAGGGTATTCCTTCGACGCCACAGGGGGTGGGGGTGCGCAGAGGGTGGTCCCTCAGCGCGGCCTCTATCCGTGACACGCTCGCAGATCGTGGCAGGCGTGGCACTTTCTCGACACCACAGGGGGTGCGCAGAGGGTGGTCCCTCAGCGCGGCCTCTATCCGTGACACGCTCGCAGATCGTGGCAGGAGTGGCATTTTCTCGAAGCCGCAGGGGGTGCGCAGAGGGTGGTCCCTCAGCGCGGCCTGTATCCGTGACGCGCTCGCAGATCGTGGCAGGAGTGGCACTGTCTCGACACCACAGGGGGTGCGCAGACAGCGCGGGTTGCGCGGGACCTGCTCGCAGGCGTCGCACTGCTCGCAGACGTGGTGCGCAGAGGGTGGTCCCTCAGCGCGGCCTCTATCCGTGACACGCTCGCAGATCGTGGCAGGAGTGGCACTTTCTCGACACCACAGGGGGTGCGCAGAGGGTGGTCCCTCAGCGCGGCCTCTATCCGTGACACGCTCGCAGATCGTGGCAGGAGTGGCACTTTCTCGACACCACAGGGGGTGCGCAGAGGGTGGTCCCTCAGCGCGGCCTCTATCCGTGACACGCTCGCAGATCGTGGCAGGAGTGGCACTTTCTCGACACCACAGGGGGTGCGCAGAGGGTGGTCCCTCAGCGCGGCCTCTATCCGTGACACGCTCGCAGATCGTGGCAGGAGTGGCACTTTCTCGACGCCACAGGGGGTGCGCAGAGGGTGGTCCCTCAGCGCGGCCTCTATCCGTGACACGCTCGCAGATCGTGGCAGGAGTGGCACTTCTCGACACCACAGGGGGTGCGCAGAGGGTGGTCCCTCAGCGCGGCCTCTATCCGTGACACGCTCGCAGATCGTGGCATGAGTGGCACTTGCTCGACACCACAGGGGGTGCGCAGAGGGTGGTCCCTCAGCGCGGCCTCTATCCGTGACACGCTCGCAGATCGTGGCAGGAGTGGCACTTTCTCGACACCACAGGGGGTGCGCAGAGGGTGGTCCCTCAGCGCGGCCTCTATCCGTGACACGCTCGCAGATCGTGGCAGGAGTGGCACTTTCTCGACACCACAGGAGGTGCGCAGAGGGTGGTCCCTCAGCGCGGCCGCTATGCACGACGGTCGTCCAGGGCATAGCAGGCGTGGCACTTTCTCGACACCATAGAGGCTGCGCAGGGGGTGGTCCCTCACCGCGGCCGCTATGCACGACGGTCGTCCAGGGCATAGCAGGCGCGGCAATTTCTCGACACCACTGGGGGTGCGCAGGGGGTGGTCCCTCACCGCGGCCGCTGGCTGGCTCGAATCTGTCCTCGTCGGAGGGTAGAAGGCTAGGAAGAGGGAGGAGGTTCAAGCAATATGGCGTTGGATGCCACATAGGGGAACATTCGCGACGAGGGCTGAGAACGCAGAATTGCACACACACTATAAACTTAAGCAAACACACAATAGTTAAGTCAAGTATGTGGGGTTCTTCGGTAGCGTAATGTCGACTCTCAGAGGCCCATGACGGCCCAAGCAGCCCCAAAATAACACCAAGACTGCCCAAGGGGCCCCAAGAGGGCCCCAAGACGGCCCCAGAGGGCCTTCAGACTGCACAACAAATGCCCCCAAGACAGCCCCAGAGGGCCCCCAAGACGGCCCAACGGGACCCCAGAGAGCCCCAAGGCGGCCGCGAGAGGCCCCCAAGACAGCCTCCGAAAGGGGCCAGACGGCGCAAAAGCGCCCCAAGACGGCCCAAGACGCCCCCAAGAGGCCCCAAGAGGCCCCAACGAGGCCCTCAAGAGGCCTCATAAAGCCCCCAAGAGGCTTCCAAGAGGCCCGAAAGGGCCCCCCCCCCCAAAGGCCCCACAAAGACTAGACTGCAATGCCCGCTTGTGGTTTAAACACCCCAGAGAGAAAAACAAAAAAAACAGTGCGACCCTATCTAAGAGTTGGAGCATCTAGGGAAGCAACATATACATCTACACCGACAGCTTTGCTGCGCTATGCTGCGCTATGCTATGCTACGATGTGTTATGATTTGCTAGGGTATGCTAGGCTGCGCTATGATATGCTAGGCTATGCTATGCTATGTTATGCTGCGCCATGCTATGCTATGATATGATATGGTGCGCTATGTTATGTTATGATATGATATGATGCGCTATGCTATGCTATGCTAGGCTCCGATATGACATGATATATTGCGCTATGCTATGATATGATACGATATGATATGGTGAGCTGCGCTATGCTATGCTATGCTGCGCTGTGCTATGCTATGCTGTGTTGCGCTATGGTATGTTATGATATGATAAGGTATGCTATGATATGCTATGCCGCGCTGTGGTATGCTGAACTATGCGATGCTATGCTAGACGATGCTGCGCTGTGCAGCGCTATGCGATGCTATGCGATGTTATGATGTGATAGGCCATGCTATGTTATGGTATGCTATGTCATGCTGCGCTATGGTATGATGCGCTATGCTATGATATGATATGGTAGGTTATGCTATGCTATGATATGCGAATGCTGCGCTGCGCTAAGCTAAGCTAAACTGAGCTGAGCTAAACTAAGCTAAACTAAGCTAGGCTAGGCTAAGCTAACCTAAGCTAAACTAAGCTACGCTAGGTTAGGCTAAGCTAAGCTAAGCTAGCCTAAGCAAAGTTACGCTAGGCTACGCTAAGATGAAATAAGCAAAGCTAAACTAAGGGGGCGCCACTGGGGGAACCGCGGGGCGGATACTGGGGGAACCGCGGGGCGGATCCTGAGGGAACCGCCCGGGGCGGGCCCCACTGCCCGGCCCTTTACGCATACCGAGTAAGAACCCTTCTAGGCAGAGCCTAGGTAGGGAATTAAAGAATAGTGTCCCGCCCTGTGTGAACCGCGGCGCAGCGCAACCCAGGTGAAGTTGGTCACGGCGGCGCCCGTGATTAGAGCCGGCGCTGGAAGCGAGGAGGGGGAAGGGAGAAGGAAAAAGAGGGATGGGTGGAGGCGGGAGGGAGGGGTAGCAGAGGCGAGAGCTCCCGGGAGGCCCCACAACGACTGCAATGCACGTGCTCTGGACGTGCACCCCGCGAAGCGAGAGGAATCCACGTCTGGAGGTGACGTGTTGCCGGAGGCAGGACTGCGGAGGCGATAATGCAACGTACCCAATGTATCCAATGACTGCACAAGTGCTGCGTGTTGTATTGTGTTACATTATTATGTCTCCCCCCCATACACCCCCTCCCCCCCGAGGCCACGCCACTTCCACCGACCCAAGGTGGCCCCTCCCCTCCTGGGCCTAAAAACCAACCCAAACCTATAGAAAATCAATGTTTTGGGCCTGTTGGCCCTCTTCCGGGCCCAACAGGGCTTCAAGACGGCTCGAGATGGCCCCAAGACGGCCCAAGATGGCCCCCAAAGGGCCTACGAAGACCCCAAGACGCCCCAAGAGGGCCCTCAGAGGACCCCCAAGAGCACCTCCAGAAGCCAAAAACCATTGATGTTCCAATGATTTGTTGAAGATTTCAGCGTTCCCGCCAATTTCGACTCTCAGAGGTCCAGGACGGCCGAAACAGCCTCCGAAGTGGCCCCCAGACGGCCCAACAAGCCCTCAAGAGGGCCCCAAAACGGCCCAAAAGGGCACCCAGACAGCCCAAAGAGGCCGCCGAGATGCCCCAAGAGGCCCCCAAGACGGCCCAAGAGTGCCCCAAGACAGTCTCCGAAAAGACCAGACAGCGCAAGAGCGCCCCTAAGACGCCCACACGGGGCTCCGAGAGGCCCCCAAGTGGCCTCCCAGACGCCCCCGCGAAGACGCAAGAGGCCCCAAGGAGGCCTCCAAGGGGCCCCCAAGAAGTTCCCAGGAGGCCCGACAACGACTGGACTGTACGTGCTCTGGACGTGCACCCCGCGAAGCGAGAGGAATCTTGTGGCTCGTTCTTCGTCGATCTGTGAGGGTCCCAAGGTTCCCCCACGGAGCTTCTGTGGGTCCCTGGGGCTATCGGGGGATAAGAAATCTCCATTGGGCAAGGGCTGGCAGGCCAACTTCTTGTTTGGTTTGATGTGCCCTGTCTAGGGCGGGGACTGGCTCGGGGGGGGCATCGACCTGGAATCGGCGACACGTCGCCGATAGATCGGCGGCAGGCTCTCAATAGCGAGGCCACGCGCTCCTGGGAGGGGTGGGGAAATGGGCGTTTGGGGGTCGGTAAATTCCCTCCCCGTCCCTGGTAGTTTTCGGGCCAGAGCTCCGGACTCCAGCGGACGTTCGGGACGCTCATGGCACCCCTGGAACGCTCTCGACAAAACGCAGCTGATGGAAACTACCCCGAGCCTCGAAGACTTCCGAAACCTTCCTCCCAAAGCCAACTTGCCCCCCTGCAGTTGTCCCCGAACTCCCGGCGGCCCACGCGGGGGCACCACGGCCCGCGGCGGCGTGGCCGGCGCCTGCAGGCTCGAAAACACCGGCGCCGGAGGCCGGGCCAGGACGAGGGCGTCGTCCAGCTCCGGCTCCGTCTGGAAGAAGATGCCGCCGCTCGGGGCCCCGACGTCGCCTGGGCCCGCAGGGCCATCGGTCAGGGCGGGCACTGGTGCCTCCCCGGCGAGCGCGGGCGACGGATGGCGCTCCCACCACCGCTGGCCGGGGCCGTCGCCAGTGGGAGGCGCGGCCTCGGCGTACCGCGCGGCGGGGGCGACGACGTCTCCCAGCGGGTTCGGGGCACGACCCAGGGCCGCACGTCGCCCCAGCGGGCCCCCTCGTCTCTGGCTGCTGCGGTAGTTCTGCACGGGGCAGCGAGAGCTGCACGGGTCCGCCGCCCTGGGCCAGGCCCATCCTGGGCCCACGAGCAGTGCAGGCGCAGCCCTGGCTTGGCCAGGGAGGCAGCTGCACCGCTCCTGAGCCCAGGGAGGCGCACATACCGCTCCTGGGCCCAGGATAAGCCTGGCCAGGGGCGGTGGACATGTGCAGATCTCGCCGCCCGACCTTCAGAGCGCCAGGGTCGGAGAACACCCTCACCATGGCGTCGACGCCGGGGCTGCTGGAAGTGGGGCTGCGGCCGACGCCCTCCAAGCAGAGCAGCTTCGCCGGGTTCGTCAGGTCCGGGGGCTTCTTCCTGTCTGGTGTTGCTAGAAGTGCCCCCTGGCCCAAGGTGCACCCAGGATTTTGGTGGAGGCCCCCACAGCCTCCAGAGCACCCCTCACGAGGCCCAGAGGGCCCCAGGGGCTGCAACATTGAGCGAACAGTTGAGAGCACCTTGGGCAAAGGGTACGTCTAGCAACATCCGAGCCTGTGCTCCAGGACCACTCCCAGCCAGTCGTCGAGGTCTCCCAGCTCCTCGGCGCCCGCGTAGCCGACGCACGTGGGCAGGCGTGGCTTCTGCCGCTCCTGCGTCTGGGCCTCGAGGCTCTGCAGTTCCCGTGCCTCCTGCACGAGCAGCTTCCCGACCTTTGTTGCCTTGTCCATGTGCTCAAACCTTCTGAGAAGCTTGGCCTCGACCGTTGGGGCATCGAGGCTGACGCACGTGAGCAGCTGCCGGAATGTGCTGAGGTCCAGGACGTAGAAGGAGCAGTCCTAGAAGAAATGCCAAAGCGGCCTACACATGAACTTTCGGAGATCCGCGCGGATGTATTGGATCGACACTTGACCCCGCTCACCAGGGGCGGCGCCGGAGGCCCCGCCAGGGGTGGCCCAACGCAGATCCAAGAAAGACACGCGGAGCTTGGAAATTTGCACGTTTACGCAACTGTTTCTTCTTCGAAGTCCTCCACCGCCCGCACCGTGTAGCAGTAGCACTGCGCCACCATGTCACGAAAGTCCTTGTGCAGCAGCACCTCCTCGCCGATCATCGCGCCTGGCTCCTTCGGGGAAACCAAAAGGTACCGATGCCGCAACTCCCCGGATCTCTCCCGGGGTGCACTCGGACCAGCATTTCGAGGCGAATCCAGCGGCGGCGGCGAGGGCCTCCCGGGAGGCCGAAACAAGGGAATACGCGGTAGCAGTATGGGTACCTTTGCCTCCTCTGATCCTTCACCCTCGCCGCCGCGATGAGACCGTAGCGCTGCCCGAGGTCGAGCCGCCCCCTGGCGGCGGGCGACTTGACCTCGCCCTTCAGAGCGGTCTTCAGGGGGCCCCGGGCGTAGGCGGCGACGCGGCGGCGAGTCCTCGGGCGATCGCGCACGAGTGGCCCTGGGCAAGAGGTGACCTCTGGTGCGCGGCTCGCCGATGGTTGCATGCAAAGCGACAGGGCTGGACCTGAACGTTGCTGTTCGTGTTGTGTTTCGTTTTGCTCGACCTGCTTTCCTGTACCTCCCTGCCAAAACGAAAAACAGGACACAGCCGAAATCCAGCAAAACAACGTTTAAGTCCAGCCCTGCAATGCGGCAGTGGCGGCCTGCGCCCGTGGGCCCTGGGTCTGGACCTCCCGCCCCCCCGAAAGCCGCGCACCAGAGGTCGCTCCGGCGAAGGGCCGCTCTTACGTGCATAGCTGGGTCCTCTGGTCGAAGGCCGCGGCGTTGAGCCCCCTGTCGCCGCTCACGCCACGCATCCTCCTGCGATTAGCAACGGAAGGGCCCCCAACCCTTTGGGAGCGGACCTGAGTTAAGAGGCCCACAGACTTAGGGATAGGTTCAGGGGTCTTTTCAGAAGATGTGCCAAACCAAAGCGCCAAGATCTGCCATCCCTGATGGAAAAAAGGAGACCTGAGCTAGGCTACGTGTTCATGGTGTTACTTGGGTTAGGGGTTCGTGGGGAGACCAAAAGGTACCGATGCCGCTACTCCCCAGACCTCTCCTGGGCGCAAGCCCATCCAACGGAGGCGACGAGGGCCTCCCCGGAGGCGACGAGGACCTCCCCGTGTAGCGGTAGCGGTACCGTTCCCTCCTCTGAGCTCTTCCACTCTCGATTCTCCTGAGGTCTTCCCGCAGCAGCTCCGCGCGCATCTCCTCGCCGTCCGCGTCCCCCAGGCCGGGCGCCCCCGCGTCCTCGCCGCCGGGCGCGGCCTCCCGCTCGCCCCGCACCTGCACGGCGGCATCGCCTGACCTCAGAAGCCACACGTGGCGCAGCGGCTCCCCGGAGCGCACGGCGAACGCCCCTCTTCGCACGCTCCTGTGGGACGCACAGGGATGGTACCAGACGTCCTCCTTGGAGGCGTGCGTCCGACCCCGAAAATATGCAGCACAACCATCTTGTAGTATATCGGTTCCCGGGCGGTATGGCCAGAAAGCGCCCGCCACGGAGCTTGTAATCGAAGATTTCTCGGCGCGCGCGCGCGTCGCCCCTTGGGGGGGGCGACGCACACACGGTATTAGTATGTTGGGGGGTGGCACCGAGCCTGCGCCGTATGCAGGCGGCCAGCCGCTTCAGCTGCTGGGGACTCGCGCTCGGGCAGATGTTGTGCCTCTGGAGGAACTCCGCCGCCTCGGCCTGGAGCGAGACGTGGTGGTCGCGCAGCGTCGCGTCGTAGTCCTCGGCGCTCAGCTGCAGCAACAATGTCGCCTTGTCCGCCACAACCACGTCGTAGCCCGAGGGGAAGTCGCCGGGGGCCAGGCCAAACGACTCCCCGCGGCCCGCAACCTGGCAGGTGGCGAAGCTCTCTGGCTCCCCTGCAACAGACGCCGCGAGGTCGGCAACGTCTCTGTCGTCCTCCTCTAGGGGAACACGCGACGTCACAAACAGAGTTCCTCGGAGGTCCGCACGGATTTCTTATGTCGGCGCTGGACCCCCCCTCCCTGGCTCGCGGAGCGCGCCAGGGGCGTCGCCAGAGGTGCCGCCAGGGGGACCTCAGCGTCGATCCAAGAAATCCGCGCGGACCTCAGAAAAATCCCACCAGCCCTCTGGGCGTCGGTGGTTTAGAGCGTTTCCTCTTCCACCCCTCCTTCTTCCCCTTCGGGGAGGGGTTTACCCCTCCCCCTACCCCCTCCCCACTGACCTGGACAGGGGGGGCCGCGGGTAGTTAGAGCGTCCAAGATCGACTCCTGGGAAGGCTAAAATTCGACACCCCTCACGAGGATCGTGGCTCCTGAGGGGGGGGCTGTAATTAGGGAACCCCCCTTCGTTGATCGATCTCCTCCAAGATTGTTCCAAAAGACGTCTTGGACCCCCTCTTGGGCTCTGCGCGCGGGCGGGCGGAGCGCCGCCCGCCCGCCCGCAAGGCCCAAGAGCCCACCAAAACGTTCGAAGACACTTCCAATACGCCACCAGGGAGGAGGAAGAGGCGGAGGAGGATGAGAATGTAAGGCACTCAAGTTAGGGCTTTTCAAAACCGTCCTGCGCTACAACGTGTACGCGTTCTCGTGCATGGGCTATGTGGCCCAGTTCTTTGCCCCGTCCAAGTATGCTTGCCAGCAGGAGTATCGAGCGCTGCAAAGTCTGACCGACGCTCCAAGAAATTCGATGTCTTGTGCTCTGTTGTATGACCTGAAGAACGGTGGTCTCAATGTCCAGGCTAAGCATCTTATGTGTATGGCGAGAGCTGCAATGTATCGGGCTGCCCTCCAATCAAAAGCCTTCTATGAGATTTGTGGTTTACTTGACTCCTTCGACGGCGACGACGACTGTGTGTTGCTATGGAAAATGAGCCCCTGGTATAAGCAGACGATGTACTATCACATGCGGGAGAATTATCGCATCTTGGAAGCCATCCCGTCCTTGCCCTCGTTTGGCTCCCTTCGGTTGCAGGCGAAAACTGAGGCTCTCTTGCGCAGCCTGGAGAAATATGATGCTGCAGACATCCTCCTCGGTCGTGCAATGAAGTATCATCCAGAGGTGACTCGCTCCCAGGCCCTCCTATTTAGTATGATTTTCCACCGATTGAATCAGGTGATCCCCCCTTGTGCTATGATTAGTTTCATCAGGACGCGGTGTAATGCTTGGTGTACGAGTGCCAGGTTTTCCCAGCCCCGTTTGAATTGCTGCTTCTGCAAAACGGCCCTTGGGGGTGATCACATAGTACACTATCTTGGTTGCCCTATTTTATCCTCCCCTGTCTGTTCTCTGCTGCTCTGCCTGCCTGCCTCCTTCCTGTCCTCGCCTGGCTCTGCTCGTCTTGCTGTCTTCCCGCTCCTTCCCCTCTCGGCCTCCCAGCTCGCGTCCATTGCAGTTTATCATGATATTTGTTGCAGTTTGTATCATTCGTACAGGCATGTCGGAGGTCTCACAGGTCGGAGGATTGCTGCTGCGGCCAGCGCCCGCTTCAAGCAACTCATCCGTCGCAGGCCCACGCTCGCGCGATTGCTGAGGGATGGATAGACTGGTCTCTCTGTCGTCTCTTCGCGCCGTGCCCGCTCTTCGCTTCGTGTCCGCTCTTCTTTCTTTCTCTCTGTGCCGCCTCGCCCCCCCCATCGTCCCACCGCTGGCCGCGGAACGCGGCGGTGCAGGACCGCCCCACCGCCCAGACTGTTGCCGCCCAGGGGAGGACGGGTTAAGGCAATGGCTTGGGTCGGGTCGGAGGAGGAGGAGGAGGAGGAGGAGGAGAGGGAGGAGGAGGAGAGGAGGAGGAGAAGAAGGCGGAGGAGAAGGAGGAAGAGGGGAGGAGAACAGCTGCCGATCATCGGCGCTCTTCGTTCGAGTGCCTGGTGTAGGATGGGCTGGTGGGGATACGCGAAGCGTCAAGAATTGTGTTTGTGCGCTTGTGCCGTTAGTTGTTCCTCGGGCGCCGCCCGGGGGGCCCAGCGCCGATCCAAGAAATCCGCGCGGACCTCCGGGAAGTTATGTTCATGCCGTTTCTTATTCCTCGGACGCCGCCCGGGGGGGCGCCCAGCGCCGATCCAAGAAATCTGCGCGGACCTCCGCGGAATTGTGATTGTGCCGTTTCTTGTTCTTCGGGCGCCGCCAGCGCCGATCCAAGAAATTCGCGCGGACCTCCGACCACCGACGCCATGGTTTTTTCATCACGTCGACCCCCAGAGGTCTCGACCCATCCCCCGGGACCAATTCTTCATCCTGAATCCATTTTCGACGGCCCCGGGACCCGGCAAGGGCCCCCAGAGGCTGAAAATAGCGAGAAACCTTCTGTCGCGACTTGTTCCTGACTCAAGGGGTTTGTGCGACCTGCGAGAAATGGTGCTCATGTCGTCTTGTTCTATCCTTCGATCCTCGTCGACCGACCTCCTCCCCGCGTCGAGGCTTCTGGACGCGGGGGCCCTGCAGCGCAGCCTGCAGCGTCCCGCCAGAACCACGGTGTGGCAGCGGACCTCGCCACCCTCCTCCTGCCGGATCAGCCAGCATCTCGGGCGCGGCCCCTCCGACCCCTAGCAAACCATCCCCTTCTGTGACGCCACCATCGCCCTTCCAGCTTCCCTCCGGCCGCATGCATACAGCTTGGGGCCAGGCGAGGGAACGTCACAGAAGGAGATGGTTTGGGGTCGGTTAGGCCGCCCCTGAGCATGGAACTCACAAGCCTGGAACATATCCCTATCCCAATGGTTGGCATCACCTTACCTCGGTGCCGATGTCAAGGATTCCCTCAGATTCTGCGGATCGCCTTCTGCTCGCCAATCTTCGGGATAGGGAGACGTCCGAGGCTGACGAGGCTGGTTACGAATCGGAAAATCGGATCGAATCGGAATGGAAGCCGGATCAGACCGCACCGGCACGGCGTCGGAATCGAATCGGATCGGCCGAGCCTCGACGCACAACAGCGCCATGCAGGCGTCGGGCCGAATCGGATCGAAGGAAGATCGAGGTCGAATCGGATCGAAAGGACCGACACCGATCTCGAATCGGAACCGAGTCGGTTCGAAACGGACCCTGTCCTGCAGCCGCATGCCTTTGTGGCACCTCACCAGCTGCGCCCTCTGGAAGACCTCCCCCCAGCCCCAGACTTCGGGCGGATGTGTGGCGTCGATCCCGGCGGCACCCCTTGCCTTCAGCCACCTGGGGCCACCTTCGGGCCTCAGGAACATGAGAGGCGAATGCGGGGGCGAAAATCTCTGGGCTGGGAGCTCCAGGGCCGCGGATGCAGAAAAATCAGATGGGAGGGCGTCAGATCCCTGCGGTCCTGGCGTCGCACGGCTTCGCCCTCATATTCGAGGCCCTGGGCCCTCGCAGATCGATCCGGCTCCAAAAATGCAGCAGAAAGATGGGGTCTGCACTGGGAAAGCCGCGGGGGGGGGCCAAGGGAATAGGGGGCCATAAGCGGATGCCATCATCGTTGTATCTGGCCCAACCCGGCTCATGAGTGGGCTGCATATGCCCCAAGTGGCTTTGGGGGGTTCGCGATCCAGGCTAAGTGGGCTCCGCCTACCCCACCCCCTGTGAAGCCACTCGGGGCATTCGCAACCCAGTTATACGCCAGGTGCGCCCAAATATGACCACCTTGGCATCCGCTTATAGCCCCCCCATATACCCCTTTAGTAGCCCCCGCGGTCATCCCCGTGGGCCTCTGGTTGCGATGTTTCACGCTGTATGTATGTTGCGCGACGTCGGATCTCAGGGGAAGAGCGCACCGAACGGGGGCAGTGCGAGGAGCTCAGGGAGGCGAGGAACCTCTCTGAGGAGGGACCTGCCCCACTCCCGAGAGGCCTCGCCGGGCGCAGACATCTGGGACGCACGAGGATGTGTCCTCCGTGAAGGCGTGCGTCCGACCCGAGCATATAATATCACCATATTGTAGTACATCGGTTCCCGAGCGGTATGGCCAGAAACCGCCCGGCACGGAGCTTACACTACAAGGTGTCTCGGCGCGCGCGCGCGTCGCCCCTTTGAGGGCGATGCACGCATAGTATTAGTGTGTTTGGTTGACGCCGAACATCTGGTCATGTCATCGTTCGTGGAGGCCTGGAAATGGGCAGAAGCAATTCGCCGGCCCAACGGGCCAGAGGCGTGCTAACATCTCTGGTAACTGCTCAACAATATTTCTAGTTCGCGCGCGCGGGGCGGGCCCTGGGGGTCCCCGGACGAAAAGTACCCCGGCAAGGTCCCGGCAAGGTCCCGGCAAGGTCCCGGCAAGGTCCCTTTTCGGAGCCCAGGAGGGCTCCAAACGGTCCAAGAGAGGCCCGAGAAGCCCTCCAGACGGTCCAAGAGAGCCGGGAGGCGCCGAAATATCACTCCTGCAGATGGCTTCGAGAGTGGGGCCCCCGCCCCACCTTTCCTCACCAGAGGCAAGCCAAATGCTGCGATACAGACTCAACACGCACAGTGCACATCCAGGCCCAGCTGGGCCTCCAATACTTCAGAAGGGGCCCACTAGGGCCGCGCTTGACTACACACAGTCACTACGATCAGCACTGATCAAAAGCAAAAACGTGCGTCATTGAGGCTGTTGGCCCTGGCGGCCTCAGAAGTCCTTGCACATCTCATCGCTCCTCGGCTCAAGAGACTAGCGGCCTGGCCGCTGTCGGCCGACATATGCTCCGGCCTCTCCGGCCTCGCTCTGCGTGTCCATGCCCTCCTCCCCTTCGGGCACAGTCTCGAGGAGGTAGCCCGGCGGGGCCTTGAACTCTTTGATCATGATCTTGATGAACTTCAGCCGCTGGTCCTCGAACTCCTGGAGCTCCTGATTCCCCCACTCGCACGGGTTCTCGATTGCCGTCCTGAACTCCAGGCTGTCCGGCAGCTTCGAAGAGATAACACTCCACGTCTCCGAATCGGACGCACCTGGACCCTCGTGCCCGTGGGCTGGCGGTAGCCTCAGACTCGAGATCACATCGTTCATGCCGTCCAGCACCTGCGGTTCCTTGTCCTTCAGGAGGGCTGCGTACGCTGCGTCCAGCGTGCTCGCGAGGGTTAGCGCGGCGTCCTCGACCCCTGCCGCCGTCCTGATCGCAATATTTCCGGTTCCCTTGCTCCATGTCAGTGTGATATTTGTCCTGTTGTTGCGATCGTCGCACTCGCCGAGCGTGCGGAGGTTGGTCACCACCTTGCACGTCGTCCTGGAGTGACGTACTGGTTCCACTTGTATGCTCTCGAAGAGGCTCCGCACCTCGTCCTCTGACAGCTGACTCTCGAACTTCACCATGGCGGCCGTGGCCCTTGGGATCGCTACTTGTGTGTCGTGCAGCTGGAGTCCCGCTTGGTCCGAGCCGAAAGTAGCTGACGACGGATCTGTTCCCGGGCTGCTGCTGCCATTACTGCTGGCTCATCTGCTAATTGGTATTCTCCACTCGTCATCGTAGCTCTGATCATATCGGCAGGTTCGGCCTTATCTTTCGTTAGTATATCAGCCAACTGTAGGGCCGACGGCACCCGCCGATAGCACAACCCAAGACGACGAACACTCTCTTTCGTAATCACTAGGTCGACAGCAACACGTTTGTCGGTACACGACCCCGCACTTCCGCACCCCACGATATGATCATACAGCGACTTGCAGTCGGTGACGGCGATGGGGGTCAGCAGAGGAAGAAATTCAGCCCGACGACGAAGACAAAACTCACCGTGACTCCCCTCTAGCAGTAGACACGACACCCATTCCAGATGCCCAAGACCGCCCATCTGAGCCTGAATTTCGGCGGCTAGCGTAGACGACGTCGCGCGGCGCAACCGATAACTCTTCCAGACCAGGGGGCTCCAGGGACTCAACTCGTTTTGGAGCGTCCTTTCGTCCGTAGCAGCAATAACATATCCAGCCTGGGTCCCTGACTTCGACGCATTTTGATTAGACGCGTCAGCGTGCATGATAACTCTCAATCTGTCAATGGGAATGGCCTTGATCCTCCACGAGAGATTCGAGAACTGCTTAGCTCGACGGACGATGGTGTTCCCGTGTCTCACCTCCCCGACGGTGGGTCTCGGCATGCATTGTTGACTCATGGATACCTGCACTGCTAAATCAGGCCTGGACTCTCGCGCTAACCAGTTCCCGCTCCCAAGCATGGCCCTGAAGTTCGCGATTTCCGTGTCGGTCGCCGGGGTCCGAGGGGGGGCGCGAGGTCTGACTCCTGCAGGTTTCATGCTTTCCGCGAGCTCCTTCTGGGACACGGTGATTTTGGCCCTGGGATCCTGGCTGATGTTTGACCCGCAGAACTTGCCCGCATTGACCTTCCACTTCGGAAACGGAAATGTTGACCTGAGATACTTGAGAAAGGCATCATACTTCCGACCTATTCCTCCAGTCAGGATATCGTCCACGTGCGTGGCGATGAGACCGCACAGCCTGCGGCCCTCGAAGAGAAAGAACATGCACGGGTCCAGTTTCGACTGCCTCCAGCCCTCACTTTCAGCATTCGGCAGCCAGTCAAGGATTGTATTCTTGAGTTTTCCCCACCACTGAGCTGGGGCATCGTTGAATCCGTAAATTGGTCGCATCACCTTCAGCAGCTGATCAGGATGCATCCCCGGTAGGCCGCCTCGGGGCTGTCGCAAGTAGAGGTCGCCACCTTCACGTTGAATCGGATCGGCCTCCAGGAACGCACCTTCCACGTCGCCGATCTGGACCTGGAAGCCATGGGATGCCAGCAGCTGGTAGGCCACCACCTTGCCGTTCTGAGACAGCGTGGGAGAAGACGTCTTGTTCTCTCGCACCAGTGTCATCAGGTCGGGGTCCAAGTAGCCTTGACTGCATAGGCGCGCCTTGACGATCTCCGATTCGGTGTCGTCGATCTTGCTGGTCAGAATCATCCTGCTCCCCACGATTCGCTCCGGCGTAGACCGTCGCACCTCGTCTGACTTCACTCTGTCCAGTGGTTCGAGAGCTTGCTTCACCTTAATCAGATTCGCCATCTCCTTCATCACGCCTGCCAGGATCTTCTTCTCGCCTTCTGTGCTCTGCCACTTCGGGCCCTTCCTATTTATTTCACGCCGGCATCCAGCCAGCAGAGCGTCCTCAAACTCTTCTTCTAGCTCGGGGTTCAAGTACAGCGCCCTGAGCTCCTCGTCATCCTCTTCCGCATCGATCATCACCAGGAAGTCCATCTCCTCCTCGACTCGAGGTACCTTCTGAGGCGGCTCTGCGTCGATCTGCTCCTCCTGCTTGTGGACCTTGTAGGGGGCCCACAAAGGACGTACGCGCCCAGCTATGCACATGAACACGGCCCCTCGATCTGCGAGACCCGCCGCGTGATACGAACTTTCGGGCAATGCGTACTCTCGAAACCAGCGTCGATTCATGTACGTGTACGTCCTTCTTTCGCTCCTGACCTTGGTCGGCCCCATCATCTCATCCGTCACGGTCCTCTTGCCGACGAGACGGCGTCTCACGGTATTCTGGTTCTGCTCCTCCGGGACCTTCTCTTGGCCGGTGTCCTGCACGTCCTCGTCCTGCGTCTCGACCTCCGCCTGGCCATCTTCCGCACCATGTTCAGGCGTCGGACCCTCTGTCTCCGGCTCCGGAGCCTGATCGGGGCCTGGAGCCTGCGGTTCTCCACCTTCACTGCCAGGGGGTCGTTCGTCCGCTGTGATGTCCATGAAACCTCTCTGCGGGCCTTGACCGTCCGTGAACTCCTTTGCCAGGGCACGAAGCTCAGGTTGGACGACCTCGGCAGCCAGCTTCTCCTCAGGAGTAGCCAGGCGCAGCTGCTCAGGAGCGGCTTTGATCACCGCGCCCGGCATGGCCGCCCAGTAGTTTCCCTTCACAGGTCCCAGAATGACAGCCGAACCTCGCCATCGGGCGTGTGCCTTCTTGCCCGGGATGCCTCGACCACGTCGCCACGCTGCAACGCGATCGCCTGGTTGAAATACGCGGGCGATTCTCGGTCGGCTGTCCAGAGCAACGCGAGCAGCTCGGTTGTCCATATACTCAAGCACGGCCTGACGAGCACATTGGCGACGTCTCTCCATCTCGACGAACGGCTCGTCGTGCAGAGCTGCGCTGTTGGCCACCGCGTTCGGCGACTCCTGCATCAGGTCGGTCGGCACCTCTGGGTTC